CCACACCATTAGCCTTTCAATGTGGTGGTGGTGGCCTCTGAAGGTGGGGGAGCAGGAGCCTCAGAAGAAGTGCTAGTCACTCAGTCATGTCTGACTCTTTGTGACCTTATGGACTTTAGCCCACCAAGCTCCTCTGTCCATGGGATTCTCCAGGCACATACTGAAGTAGGTTGCCATTCTCTTCTCCAGGGGATCTTCTCGACCCAGGGATCGAACCTGCGTCTCCTACATCGCAGGCAGATTCTTTACTGCTGAGCCCCCTGGAAAGCCCAGGAGAGGCACCAGGGTGGGAGCAGTGCCCCCACATCTGTGGCCCCCAGGTTGGGTAGTAGGCAGTCCTTGGAAGGCAGGTTGGACTGCAGTGGTCCTCAAATTTTCTGACTTCAGGACCCCTTTATGCTCTTAAAATGTGGAGAAACCCCAAGGAAATGTTGTTGATGTGGGTTATATCTATCAAGATGTGCTGTATTAGAAATTAATACTGAGGAATTAAAAATTCTTAACCATTTTAACCTATAATACTAAAAATAACATTGTGATAAGTAACAAATTTTTGGTAAGAAATACTCAGGTTTTCCAAAACAAAAAACTAAGGAGAAGAACGACATGGTTTCATATTTTTGCAAATCTCTTTAATGTCTGGCTTACTGGAAGGCAGCCAGAATCTCTCAGCTGCTTTTGCATTCATGTCCTCTTTACATCACAGGCCACTGTGGACTCCAGCAAACTCCACTCAACAGGGACGGAGAAAAGGCCCATACTAACTTACTGTTTTTTTGTGAGAACAGTTTGGCCTGGGGGACCCACAGGGCCCCGGGGGTCGGCAGGTTGAGGACGAAAGGGCCCCTGCCTGAGTCTCTTTCGCTCTCTCCCCGGCAGGTGTGCTGGCGCTGTGGGTGCTGGTGACGCACGTGATGTACATGCAGGATTACTGGAGGACGTGGCTCAAGGGGCTGCGTGGCTTCTTCTTCGTGGGCGTGCTCTTCTCGGCCGTCTCCGTCGCCACGTTCTGCACCTTCCTGGTGCTGGCCATCACTGGACACCAGAGTAAGGGCTTCCGCCGGGGCGGAGAGAGTGTGGGTGGGGCGCTCAGTAGATCCCAGGATTACCTTGCTAAGTCCAACGTTTATGCCCACAAGACTGAGCAGATCACTTAACTTCCCTGTGCCGGCGTTTTCTCATTGTTAAACTGGGGGGAATGGACCCCCCGCCCCTGTGTTAGAAGAGGGAACTGTGAGCTGCAGTCAGCACCCAGGAGTGTGCGGTTAGCAGCGCCTTTTAGCCTCCCGCCCAGCTCCGGGATGGGAGCGCCCCCTGGTGGCTGCAGTCTGCAAGTAGCCAAAGGCCCTTTCTGCCCGCTCCGATGCTGAAGCAGATTGGAAGGTAGAGGTCTAAGGTCAGTGTCACAATAGCAGAGTGGATGATGATACAGACCTCTGATTAGCCAGCCCTGGCCTAGCCTCATCCCCACTGCTTCCTGCTGGCAAACTCTGAATGCTCCGGAACCTCTATTATATCTGATCTCTCCACTGGATCGGTTCAGCCTCTGTTGGAGACTGTGGGGAAGAATGGCCCGGGGCTTGTGGCGTGGTGGCTAGGGGTCAAGGGCAAGGTCCTCTTGAGTCACAGTTGGATTCTTCTGCCCTGCAGGCCTCACAGACCCCAACAGCTACTACCTCTCTTGTGTCTGGAGCTTCATTTCCTTCAAGTGGGCCTTCCTGCTTAGCCTCTACGCCCACCGCTACCGGGCTGACTTTGCTGACATTAGCATCCTCAGCGATTTCTGACCCCACGGGATGAGGGCTCTGCACCCCGACAGTCCTCAGGACCTGGACTCAGCCTCTGAGACATCAGGCGGACTTGTACACCCCCTGGGAACCCCAGAACGGAGGCGGAAAATACACAGCAGGACAACGGATGGTGGTCTCCATGAAGCTGTCCTGTCCCCTTCGGGGGAGCCCTGGGTGCTGTGGGAAGGGGTCCTGCCATGCTGCTCATCAGCCTGGCTGGAGGGCAGCTTTAGACCTTTAAAACGTGGATCTATTTTCTTAGCACTCAGTGGGCAGTCCTTGTAAGCAGGCCAGGGCAACAGTGAAGGCAGTGGGGCCTTGGCGGTGCCCGGGGCCCAGGGGCAGGCCGTATGGTCTCTGCTGCCCTGGGCCCTCTCCCTCAGGCAGGGTGGGACCCTGGGGAGGTCAGGTCAGATAAGGGATCTCTAGTAGAGACTTCTCAACCCCCCACCCCAGCACCCTCATCCCTGTGTCCCCCAAGTGTCAGGTAGTTGAACTCACTGGTCCCAGGGGTGGGTGACATTGGCTCTCTTTTCCCGAGGCCTGGGGACCTGGGGGGGGCCTCAGCGTCCCTCTCCCCACCCTGTTCCCACAGCGCTGGCTCCAAGATCGTGCTAGAGCCGTCGCCCCTTCACCACGTACATCAGAGCAGGATGCCCCAAATGAGGCCAGACTCAAGGTCTTGGGGGAGGTGCTCCTGCCCCCCAAAGGGCTTTAGGGAAGGGGGCAGCACAGCTTGGGCGAGAAGCAACTCTCAAATGAGGTTTCTATAGCCCAACATTTCCTCTCACACCTGGCATTCCTCCTGGCACCCGAGTCACCGCAGCCCCAGACGCGCCATCCCCCCACCCCCACCCCGCACCGCCCCTGCCAGCTGCCCTTCATGAGAGCTTTTTATCTTTCCAAATCCCCCTTCCGAAAGACGAAACCTGCTCTACTGCCTATACACTGGCCCAAGGGCTCACCGCGCTCGGAGGGAAGGGGCTCCATCAATCTTTTTTTCGGCTGCCATTGTGCACGGTCCACCCCTCTCCCACCCGATGTGTCCCGCCCCTCGGCTCTCTGCCTTATCTGTGTCACTGGCACTTTAGCAGAAGTACAGTGGCCATTTATATCAGCCAGCCTCCAGTGCTTTCTTGCGGGGTGGACTGTGGGAGCAGTGGGTGGGAAGGGTGGGGATGGGGGGCTCTCCAGTTGTCTCATTAAGCCATTTCCGTAACAGGAGGTTCTCTCCCCCTGGTCCCACTTGAGGGACTCCCCATGGGGGAACCCCCAGCCCAGCGCTCCTCCTCCAGCCCCCTCAGCACACCCCCAACCAGGGTGAGGATGCCCCGGGGCACAGCTTCAGCAATGCCTGTGGGACCGAGTGCCTGTCGCCCAAGAGGCCAGGATAGAAGGGTTAGACACGTTTTCCTTGTGCTCTCTAGGCTCGGAGGACTTGAGGCCAGATCCTAGCTAATGAGGCTGCTGCTTCTGCTGCCTGAAGAAGCCTGGCCGTGTTGGAACTGTAAAGACAGGCGCCAGCAGCCCCAGCACCTCACAGTGGGTGAGCGTGCCCCATCCTGTCATCTCACCATTTTCTCTTCTAGGCTCAGTAGATGCTTAAAGAGTCAAGGTACATTAGAGCAGGCAGGAACCCAACAGTGTCTATTTCAGGAGCCTTCAGCTGATAAACAGAGGCCCCAGGAGGTGATGTGACTTACCTGACGTGACTTACCAGTCCCAGTTGAGACTGAGACTCTTTAGGGAAGCCCGAGTGAGTGGGTCTGCAGGCCTCCCTGGCCCCACCCCTTAACCAGTCCCAGAGCTGTGTGAACCCAGAGCTGCCGCCTCACTGTTACCCAGAGGTGCGGCAGGAGGAGACAGCCAGGGTGGGTTCAGGATAGATTCTTCCTGCAAGGCAGCTGCCACAGATCAAGGAGCTGGAGGGAGCTGCCTCCCAGCCCAACCCGTCCCTTCTCTTCCACATCGAATCAGGTATAAACTGTGCTGTGTAGTTGTAGGCCCACTGCCCACCCCTCATCCCCCGGAGGCCCTTTCACATGCACCTTTAAAGCAAATAAAACATTTATTATTCAGATTTTTTTCCTTTTTTTTTTCTTTTTTACAAAAAAACATGCATACATACACAGGGTATAGTGGTCCTGGGGAAGACACACGCGCTTGCACGCACACACACTCCCTCTTACTCTTTCACTCGCGCACACACACACACACACACACACAAATACTTTCCTTCGTGACCCCAGGCCTCAACCCCAGAAGCCTCGAAGACTCTGCCAGGGTAGCCCCCCCTCCCCCATGTCTTCCATCCACTCTCCCACCCACTCTCCCCTTAGCCAAGCTAGTCCTATGTAGGGCAAGAGTCAGCTGGGGTCCCGGAGACCCCAGAAAGAGAGAAGGCTCACGGAGGGGTGTGGTGACTGAGGGAGCCCTGGGGGGTCATGCTGTGCTTCTGAGGGGAGATGAAGGGTTTGGCACCATTGGATCAGGAAGCACGGAACTCCAAGAGCACCTGTCTGCTCCCCCAGGGCACTGAGATGGTGGATGCAGGGAATCCTCTGGCAGGGGCAGGGACCAGATGGGAGGCCTGCCGTGCCTGCTCTCAGAGGGGGCTTTGCCTCACTGCCCCGTGGTGGGGAGAAGCTTCCAGAGTCATCCGAGGGAGCAGGAGAGGAGGAACTCCCCGGCACCCAGGGACACGGGACCCCTCGGCTCCTCCTAACCATCCTCCCTCCCCCGACTCCAGCCCCCAGAGCCTAGGAAGGGCCACTCCGGCAGAGGCCACGTTCACATTTCTGTGTGAAGCCTGGGGCTGTGTGCAAAGTCCCGGGTCTACAGAGCCTAGAATAGTGGTTATGGGCTGGGTCCAGCTGACCCAGTCCTCCTCTGTGCAGTCCTGAGGAGCCGGGCCCCACTTGGGGCCGGGACCCAGAGGGGAAGACTCTGCATTGGGGAGACGTCTACCAGGGCCTGGCTGGCCGCGCAGCCTGCCTCCTCCAAGGTCCTCTGGTCCCTGTCCTAGGCCCCGGGCCTTCTCAGGGTCCTTGGGTGACTGTCAAGGCTGTTCTCTGGCCCCGACTACCTGCCCGAAGGATCTCTGAAGACCCCGGGAACTGGTACTGCTGCCCGAAGTTGGAGGAGAACCAGGTCCGCGGGGCGGGGCGGGGCGGGGCAGGGCGCAGCGGGTGGCAGATCCCTTCTGGAGCCTCAGAGATTCATGGGTTCCTCCTCCTCCACCAGCTGCCCTGAGGTCCTGGGGGAGGGACAACGGTGGTGCTGCCAGAGGGCCTGGGGCCTGGGGCCTGGGGCGGGCCAGGGCCCAGCTTCCTGAGAAGCCTGAAGTGGCTGTGCCGGGACCTGGGGGGATCCCCGCAGGGGAGGGGCCGTCAGCCCAGGCTCTTACCGCTCTTCAGCCAGGATGCCCACAGAGAGGGATGCCAGCGCCGTCACTGCCTCCACTTCTTCTGCGTCGGCCCCTGGCACCCTGTGCACCCAGGAGTCTGGACGGGAGGCCAGACGCTGCATGCAGCCCCAGTATTCACCTGGGCAAGAAGCTGATTCAGAAACAGTCGGGGGTACGAGGCCCCCCACCTGCCAGCCACATGTCCTAGACTGGTACTGAGGCTGGACATCTGAGGGCAAGGGCCCCAGAGTAGCAGGCGTGTCCTCGGCATGGGGTCAGTTCTCAGCTGCCTCCACCTCCACACAATACCCTCCCAGACTTGATCCCCCCAACTGTGAGCAAGTGAGGGTTCAGGGTGCAGTGAGGCGCCCTCACAAAGCCCAGGCCACTCCCCCACCCCCTTGGCTGACCCATCCCCGTGGGTGTAGGGTTTCCATGACCACCACCTGGGCTTCCTTCCCCTGGATGGGGTCGGCGTCACCGTGACATCACAGAGCCCCGAGTCCCAGCCTCCTGGAGCGCAGGGTCCCCCTCACATGAAGACCCCAGCAGTGCTCAGCCCAGCACAGGACAGGGGAGGTGGGAAGGACACAGAACCGGGAGAGCTGGCCAACACTGCAGCCGCTCTGGGTGGCCGTCGGAAGCCACCTATCTGCCCAGGACTCCCACTGCCGCATCCAGACCATGGACATGACCATCCTGCCTATTGCTGTGAGACATAATGTCCATGGAACATGCCCAGCACAGAGCCTGGCCAGTGTGAGGGCTCCATGCCAAGTATAGCAGCACCTTCAGTGTCATGTATGACCATGCTGAGCCCAGATGTGGGAAATCTGTTTTATTCATCTTTGTATCCCTAGCATAGATCACGGGGTTTCCCTAGTAGCTCAGATGGTAAAGAGTATGCCTGCAATGCAGAAGACCCAGGTTTGATCTCTAGGTCAGGGAGATCTCCTGGAGGAGGAAATGGCAACCCACTCCAGTATTCTTGCCTGGAGGATTCCATGAGCAGAGGAGCCTGGAAGGCTACAGTCCATGGAGTCTCAAAGAGGTGGACACGACTGAGCAACTCACACACACTGCACAGATCATGGGTAGCATATAAAGTGCTCCATAGATGCTGAGCTGAAGTTGAAAATTTAAAGTGCTTTCCAAATGAGGAGTTAACCTAGGACCCAGCTCCCAAAGCAGGTAGAGTTCCTAAGACCCTGTGGCTAAAACTGAGGGTCAGGGTGGGAACCAACACTTCCACAAACAAGGCCTGAGTGCTGCTGGGGGCAGGGGCCTGGCCTAGGGCAGCGGCTGGGGAAGGGAGGCCAGTCCTGCCTGGTCCCCACTGTCTGTCGGTCCCTGCTGGGTCCATCTGGAAGGCTCCAAGGGTATTCACCTGTGGAGGCACCTGCCCCCCATTACTATGGGGTACTTTACAGGATGCCTACTCTGAAGCAGCAGCAGTTCCCCTGGCCTGGCTGGGGTTGGAAGACCTGGGGCTCTGGTCCCTGGGGGCAACAGACCCCCGAGTTTTCCCCAAGTCTGGGGTCAACAGTGTCCTCTCTCCACACTCACTGTGCACTCGGATCACAGCTTCCAGGGAGCGGATGGCGTTGAGGTTGGGTTTCTGCTTCCAGCCTTCTTCTGAGAGGGGATCCACCTACAGAAGAAAGCGTGCATCAACTGCCTGCCTTGCAGGGACCCACAGGCCCAGCTCTCCCCAATCCCGGGGCCCTCGCTTTCCAGGCTCAGATAGGGATGTGCTCCTGGCTCTGCCTGGGGCAGGGGACGTTGACCTGAGGCCTGACCCAGAGAAGAGGCATCCACTCTGTTCCCCTCAGTCCAGGCCTGGCCACCCCCGCCCTGCCCATTTGCAAGCCCCCAGGGAGGTGCACCATCTGCCTGCTCCCTGGGGTGCTCCTGGGAAAACTGGACTGCCTTCCCCACAGATGCATGGATCAAGGGCAGGCTCCTCACCTTGTTGCCCAGAAGAGCAGACACACAGGCCTCGGAGGCATCACAGATGGCTGTGAGGTCATGGCCACCCTCCAGGGCCAGCACCACCGCACCTCCGGCCAAACTCATGAGCTGCTGAGTCATGTACCCAAAACCTAGAGGGTGGGTGAGGAGGGTTAGGAGGGGCCGGGGTAGAGGAGGGGGGCCTGCTCCACCTCTGTTATTTCCCTTCTCGGCTCCCCCCTTAGAAGCAGTGACTCAGGTGACAAATCTCTACTCTACCAACGGCTTTCACATGGAACCTCCCGTCAGTCCTATTCGGGTGCCTCCCTGAAGGCTCAATGAGGTTAAGGGCAGCGAGTGAGTGACGGGGGAGGACTTGAACCGGGGGTAGGAACTCCAGCCCGTGTCTTTTCCCCTGAGATACACCATATTCCTCCCCGTCCTCCAGGCTCAGCAGGCTGAGTGGGCTCCCTCTGTTCTGAGAACTCTGCTCCTCCCCATCCACCCCTGCCCAGGAGAAGCTGCCCGCCCAGCCTGGGAAGGACACAGTCAGGGTGGGAGAAGTCCTGTGACCGAGCCTCCAGTCTGTGGGACTTGAGTCCCCAGGTGTGACTTAGGCCTTCCTCGATGAACCGACCTGGCCTGCGCACGATCCCTGTCCCACGCTCACGGCCCTGGGCCAGCCGCTGTCACCTCCCTCTTGACTTGGGCAGCGCTGCCCCTGCCCCAGCCCAGGCTTCATGACCTTGCCACCCCCCGAGTCGGGGCCCTCCTTACACTTGGCAGAAACATGGTAGCCACCCAGTGGGGGCGGGTGACCCTCGGCAGCATCAAATCCAGCCGACACCAGGACCAGGTCTGGAGAGAACTCCCGGGCGATGGGCATCACGACTATCCTGTGTGCGGGGGAAGGGGGCTCACAGGCTGTGCAGGGCCGCCTGGCAGTCCTCTCCCACCAACTTTATGGGGGAGCAGCCTGCTCTCAGCACTCCCAGCAGGATGAGCGGACGCCTCTGGCTTCCTTGACCCTGGCCCGTCTTCCATGCCCCTGGTGCAGCCTAAGGACTCAGCCACCCAGGGCTCTTAGCTGGCAAGAGGCAGGAAGGAGCCAAGGATGAGGGGATGAAAGAGGAGCTGGTGCACTGTGTTTGGTGGGGAGTGGTGGGCAGGGCCACAGGGAAGGGGCAGGTTACTAAAGCCTCAGGGAAACACTGGAAACACTCAGCCCTCAGCTGCCACCTGCTTAGGACTGAGTCAGCCCCACGTCACCACTCACCACCTGAGAGCTGACCAGGGCAATAGATCCTCTGAGGTCCTGGGCCACCAGATCCATGCTCATCCTTTGCACCTGCCAGCCCCTCACAGCTACCTCCCTCCACCCCTCATCCCTCACCCAACCCTGGGTCCATTTTGCTGTCCTTCAAGACAGTAAACCTAGGCTCTGGGTGCACAGATGCCAGGAACCCCAGCCCAGGGCTCCTACAAACTTAACTCTCATTAAGAATACTCCAGAAAAGTATACAGAGACCTATTTCCAGGCTTCCCTTTTTCCAAATGGAGTCTAGGAACCCCCAGAGAGAAATACACAAAGGCTCCTGAGCCAAGTCCCTCTTGTAGAATGGCTTTTCTTAAGCAACAACTTCAATATGGACATCACCTGCTTGCTTTCCCTCTTCCTCCACAGTTTAGGCTTCTCAGCTCCTATGCAAAGCCCACCTCCTCCAGGCAGCCTTCTTTGCCTGAACAGAGCAGCCCTGCTCACTGCCCCCTGCCTGTCTCCCTGCGCTCAGTTCAACACTGGCTCTTGGTAACGTGTGACATTATAAAGTATGCCTCGACCTTTTCAGTCTGTTTCCTGTCTTCCCACAGGGACTGGATGCCCCTAGAGGCTAGCGTAACCATGCCTTTCCCTTTGTCTCAGTCCACAGGCCCACTCCACGGCTGGCTTATAACGTCTCGTGATTAGACAAGCTGACAAGCCACCTGATCACCTCCAACCTGGTGCCGCTGGAAAAGGGGAGGAGAGGGTGGCCCTCCTGGGCCAGGCCTCCTCTGGGCGCTTAGCGAGCTTACCTGAAGGCAGCCAGGTACTCAGGATCCCCCATCGGGGGGTCCAGACCTCCAGCCCAGGCCACGTTGACATTGAAGCCCTCACCGCTGCCAGCTCCCACCTGGAAAATGGGAGGCAAGAGAGATGTGAAGAAAGCAGTGTCCCGGGAGCAGAACCCCTGGATGTCAGCGCTACAAGAGCAGCTCATGCAGCCCCTTCACTCCCAAATGTAGAAACGGAGGATCAGAGAGGCTCAGCAGCCTACCCAGGATCACACAGCTAGCTGCAACAAGAGAGAGTTAGGGCCACTCGGGAGAGTCAGTGGGCTGGAAGATGTGGTTACCTCATCCACAGCCCCACTGCCAGGGAAGAAGTTGCCGTCGTCATGGCGATGAAGGGAGATGTACAGCACATTGGGGTCCTGGTAGAAGGTCTGCTGGGTGCCGTTGCCATGGTGAACGTCCTGTGCAGGGAGATGGGCAGTGGATTAGGGCAGGTCTGAAAGCAGAGAGATTGGGACAGAAGCAGGCTGGAAAAGTCTCCAGGTCATTGACCATTCTGAAGGTCAGGAGCCTAGACCTGCGGGTGAGAACACGGGGGCTCCTAGAGTTAAACTGTCAAGGGAACCGTGGGCGCTTTCTAAACCTCAGTCTCCCCACGTTATGTAAATATATGTACATAAGACTCTGGGTGGGGGTGATGATAACATAAGACCCGGAAGGGGCGGAGCTGCACCGAGGGCCGGCCAGCCAGAGCCGCGGGAGAGTAAGTACTGGTGGAGGGTGAGTGCCGGAAGAGGGAAGAGCCCAGGGTCACACATCAGGAACCCTCACTACTGCGTCTTGCCCAAGGTCAGGGCATGATGCAAGTGATGGAAACCACACTCCATTAGAGAGGGGCTAGGAAAACGAGGCCCAGCGCCACCCTCAGAGGAGCGCCGAGCACAACCCCCAGGCTCTTGCCTGGCCTGGGAATGCGGAGGACTGCGCATGTGCACAAGTGTGGCCCGTTCCTCCCTCCTGTGCTGAAACATCCCATAAGTAGATGTTAGTACCAAGTGGTTAGACACAGGTGCTCCAGGGCTAAGGGGCCTCGGGTCTCAGGACTTACAAGCTGTACGGCTGTGTACAGGTCAACCTAACCCCTCTGTGCTGACTTCCCTTATCTGTAAACCAGGCAGAGTCAGGATTAAATATGTGATGCGTGAAACCATCAGTGTCTGGGTTTGATTAGTGGTAGGTTGATGTTATGTGCTATTATTGGCACTCTCACTACCTTCAGGGGAAGAGCAGAAGTGACCAGATCTACAGAGAGAAGCCCACAGAGGCCCAAAGGCAGCATTCAGATGGCTCCTCCCCTGTGGGAGCCGGTTCCCACAGGCCAACTCCTCCGGGCCTCCCAAAGGCCCCGTGATGGGGGCACTATCCTCACCCACGTTTACACACAGGGAAACCGAGGCTCAGGGAGGCGAATGCAGAACTAGGTAGGACACAAAGCCACAAAGTCTCAGGTCGCCAGGCTCAGGGCTCCCTCCACAGGGCTCTCGGACCTGCAGGGGCCAGGAGCCGGGACCTACCCAGTCCACAATGAGGATCTTGCTGGCTTTGCCCTGTTGTTGCAGCTGCCGGCAGGCGATGGCCACTGAGTTGAAGAAGCAGAAGCCCCTGGGAGGAAAAGACGGAGGTCGTGCCAGCCTGTTCCCTCCCCGTGCTACCCCCACCCCACCTGTCTCCAGCCTGGCCCCAGAAGGCTGACAGGAAGGAAGGGGAACCTGGCCAACCAAGGCCCCCCAGCAGGAGGGCCATGAGGACCTGCACCCCCCCGCCGCCCCGCTCCAGCCCACCTAGGCCCCTCCGGGACTTACATGGCTGTGGAATGGTCTGCGTGGTGTCCTGGGGGCCGAACCACAGCAAAACCGTTCTGGAAACAGAAAGAATGCTTGTCAACCAAACAGCCAACCATCTGACCCACACCTCCATGAACCCGTCCCCCAGCTGCAGGCTCTTCCCGAGAAGGGACTGCAAGACAGCGTGACTGACCAAGGGGCCCTCTGCTGAGCCCCAGGCCGGGAACACAGAACCTCCCATCCTGGGGGTTCCTGGCTGTTATCGCTTTGTAATAACAACAGCTATTATTTATTGGGCAAAATCTATGTGCATGGCACTGTGCTAAGCACAGGGTAAACACTGGATTTCACCCTCACAACGCTCTGAGGTAAATGTTACCTAATCTTCATAACATCTTCATAAGATAAACATTGCGATTATCTGGTTTACAGACAGGAGAAACCTGGAGCCTTAGGTGGATTTAATATTAATAACTCGTGCGAAGTTGCCTGATAGCAGAGCTAAGACTTGGGCCATGAGCTTCTAAACAGTGGGGGCTCAACACAAGCTCCCATAAGGTGCCAAGCCCAGAGCAAACAAGCATGGGTGTCAGCCTGCTATGTAAAACTTCAGCACCACAAAGGGCCAGTCTGCCAGGGCACGGGCCGCTGGAGAGGCTCCGCAACTTGCCCGCGGTCACACAGCAAACATGTTAACCGACCCCGCATTAGCATGGGCCTGCCTCTCTTAAGAGACCACAGGACCAGGGGCCCAGTGACTTGATTCCTCAGCAGGTAACGTGAGCCTAGGCTTCAGATCTCATCTGGGTCCCCAGAGCTCTCGGTTTCCCTCCCGAAACCCTGCGGTGATCTCTAGGAGGAATGTGATGCTGGGCGTTGGGTCTGCCTTCCCCGCTGCCCGCCCCCTGCCTCCTTCCTCCGTGGCTAGTCCACCCTCCACTCAAGCCTCCTACCTTTAGCTCACGGGAGGCCACTTTGAAGGCGAGGTCGGTGACGCTGCCAGCAGCCCAGCGGGCCGCATTGGAGGAGTGCAGCTCATTCCAGATGGTGTCAGTGTCCACCTGTGGGGGCCAGAGTCAAGGCCCGCCTCACCCACGGCCTCCCACAGGAGCCGGGGCCTCGGGGGCAGCGCCCACCCCACGGCTAGGACCCCAGGGGCAGGGAGCTGGGCAGATGGCACTGCCTCCCCCATGCCCCACCGCCCAAAGGCAAGGCCTCCCGTGTCCCCCAGTCCCAGCACAACTTCTTCCCAGCTTCAGTCCACATCACCAGCCCGCATCTGGCCAGCACTCTGCCGGCAGCATCGCGCCTGCCTCCCCGGTCAGAGGAGGGGGCATGGCGTTACCTGGGCGGGACTTGGGGTTTGGGCCTGGAGGGGGTTTTAAGCCCCCGCTGACTCTGCTCAGGCCCTCGGGATGGTCGGAGCTTGAGGGGCCGTCTGCACCACTGTCTTCCACTCAGGGCCCCTAGCCCAGGCTGGGAGGCCCCCCAAACCCAGTCCCTGGGCCTCAAGGCTAGGGAGGGGCCGGGGGGCGTGATGGGGAGATGGGGAGGGCGAGGCGGACCGAGAGAGGCGAGGAAGGCAGAGAGAGTCGCAAGAGGCTGGAGAAAGAGAGAAAGACAGAGACAGAGGGAGAGGAGGGAGGAGAAAACAGAAGCAACAACAGTTGGAAAAATCAGAAAGTGGCAAGAAATGGGAAGTTGTGAACAGGGCGCTGACTGGCTCCCACACAGCCTCCCAGCGACAGTTCCCATCCCTCCAGGACTAGGCCTCCGTCCCCTGCTCCACACGCCCGGCCGGGAAACCACCACGGGGACATTTTGAGGGCAGGAAGGGCACCGCCAGGAGGCAGAAGTCCCCAGGCGGAGTGAGAAGGAGCAGGGAAAGCTAGGGCGTCAGAGAGACATGCCTGGGTTGCCAAGGATGCCAGAGGCACCCACAGCGCCGGGCCGGGCGGCCTGGAGGCCAGCGTGGTCTCAGAGGGAGATGAGCCCAAGCCCCAGGCTCAGCCCTGCTCTCTCAGCCTCCTCAACCTCCACTGGAGGCCTTCAAAGTGCAAGCCAGGGGCTCTACGCTCAGGAGGACACACCCACCAATGAGGAGCTTCTAGCCGAGGGGAGAGCCCGGCCCACGGGGCCCGGCAGGACCACCGAAACGATCAGGCAGGGGCTGGGCCTGGGGGATCAGGAGGGAGGAGGAGGTCTGGAGACCCTGCACACTTACCCCAACACCGCCACAAGGCAGCATCACGAACATCCGCTGTGCCAGGAGGCCTGCGGGGAGAGGCCCAGGTGCATGAACTGAACCCGTTCAGCCTCTGGGCCGGCCCAGAGCAGGGAGGCCCTGAGAAGAGGGCGGGGAGGGGCTGGCAGGGACGGGTGGAGGTGGGCAGCAGAAGAACCAGGGGCAGCACAGGGATGCCTGGACGCCGAAGGGATGAGCTTGGCAGAGCGAGGACTAGACCGCAGGACGGTGCTCTGGCTGAGTGAGCCGGAGGCGGGGGGGGGTGGGGGTCTGGGGGCCCCTACCTGCCAGCTTCCCGTTGTCCAGTTTGAGGCGGCTGAGCGGGTTGGTGCCATAGAGGAGCACGTGCCGTTCAGAGTGCACCGACTGTAGCTCCTCCAGGGAGGCCTTCCGGCCCCGGAGAGACTGAGGAGGGACCCATGGAGCCCCTGAGCCTCTGCTTTGGGCAGCCCTCCCCTGCCATTCCCACCGCCCAGACTGGCTCCAGGCCCTCCCAGCTCCCTCCCTCCCGCAGCCCTCACCCACTCTAATCCCAAAGCCCACCCCCCTGCCTCCTCACCTCACACTGGCTCCGGAGCCCCCGCTCCAGCAGCCGCGACCAGATGCTCTGGATACGGCCCGCGTGCTCTGGGTGCCTGCTGTTGTCCCCGCAGGAGCACTGGTGCTTCAGCATCACCGAGTCATAGACCAACCCTGCGGGGAGTGGGCTCAGGGGTCAGGGCCCCAGGGAGCCCCGGACATACCCCACAGCCCACACAGTCCCCCGTACCCCATCCTACCCCTCGGCGCCTGCACACACACCCCCAGCTCCTTACCCAGGCAGCCTCGGGCACCTCACCCACATACCACACAGCCCCAGCCTACACAACTGCCACATGCCACTGCCTTCCCGACTCACTGACCCTCCTCATGTGGCGCAAAGACCATGACCGTGACCTCAAGAGCTGGGGGCCTAACGGAGGGAGGCCTGAGGTGGGGGCTCGCCTGGATATGATGACCCAAATAGGAGCCCCCAGACTGGGAGCTGGGAAGCCCACAGAGACACTGGGCCATGTGAGAAGACAGATGTGGCTTTGGGGAAATTCAAATGGGGGAAAATGAATAAGCACCTGACTGCTCGACCAATAAGAAATGTTTAAACTAAAATACTATGATGACATACTATAAAATCTCATTTTCAGGGCTTCCCTGGTGGCTCAGTGGTAAAGAATCTGCCTGCCAATGCAGGAGACATGGCTTTGGTCCCTGGTCCGGGAAGATCCCACAAGCCAAGGAGCAACTGAGTCCACACACCAGAACTACTGAGCCTGTGCTCCGCAACGACAGAAGCCACTGCAATGAGAAACCCACACACCACAGCTGGAGGGTAACCTCCACTTACCGCAACTAGGGAAGAGCCCGCACAGCCGAAAATAAATAAATTACTTTCTAAAAAAACTCACTTTTAAAGATTAATTATATCACAAAGGACTCATCATGAGTAAAATAAATAAAGTAGGGTATAAAATGTAGCCACAAGACGTAGTGTATATGGGATTTATACGTTTGGCTAGAACAAAGCCTGGCCTGAAATATGACAACATGGGGCATGGGGCAACGAGGGGTTGCCTCTCGGTGATGGGATACTGGCTCGTGATTTTTTTTATTTTTTAAATAAACTTAAAGGTCACACCTATATGTTTTTTCTTTCCTTAATATTTATTTATTTGGCTGCACCAGGTCTTCGTTGTGGCATGCAGCATGTGAATTCTTAGCTGCAGCATGTGGGGTCTAGTTCCCTGACTAAGGATCGAACCTGGGGCCCCTGCATTGAGAGCACGGAGTCCTAGCCACTGGATCACCAAGGAAGTCCCCTGGCTGGTGGTTTTTCTTCCATTCTTATGCTTTTCTATATTTTTCAAAATTTCTGAAATGCTCTTGAGTTCTTCTCACAAGCAGAGCAACGATGTAATTTTTGAAAGCCCTGAACTAATTGTAAGGAGACCTGAATTCTTAGCCTGGCCTGACTGCCAGCCAACTGTCCCCTAGATTTCCTGAGCCTGAGTCTCCTTAACTGTAACATGGAAACCACCTGTTCCATGGGACACTGAGTAGATCTCCTCAGACTAAGAAAGGGCTCTGTGGTCTCGAAACATGTCCAGAGTGAATTATGACACAGGAATTATGGACTCCTCTCCGAGCCCCCGTGTGCCCCGACCTCTTCCTCCTGCCCTCCAATCCAAGCCTTACCCGTGGTGAAGGGCAGGGTCCGGGCAGGGGTCTCTGAGCTAGGCAGGATACGGGCCTGGCTGGCGGGCTCTGGAGTCGGCAGCGAGGCAGGTGCAGCCGGGGACGACTGAGCCCTGGACAGGGGCCGGTGACTGCCCGGGGCCAGGGGAAGCAGCACAGAGTCTCCAGTGGCTCCTCGGGGGAGCTGCCCGGCCAGTCGCTGCTGCTCCCAGAGGAACACCTGAGGGACACAGGGGGCCTCAGGCTCCAGGTTCTCAGACCCTGCTCCATCCACCTCTGCCCACAGCCAAGAAACCTCCCGTCAGGACCATTTTCTGCAGAAGCCTCTGGCCCTGCCGCCCAGCTGGGCTTTGAGTCTCTGAGCTCCCTGCCCATATACTCCCCCAAAGATCTGCAGCCCTGACTGACCACCCCATTCCAACAGAGCTCCCTGAGCCCTCGAGACTCCAACACCAGAACTGGGGTGAGGGGCCTCTGGTCGGCTCTGACCAGGATCTCCTGGTCTCTGAGGACTACCCACCGCCCAAGGACACAGGGACCTTCGTGAGCCGCTACACCCTGTGGACTGTCACCACATCTTATGGGCTGAGTTGTGTCCCTTCCCACCTCGTATTTAGGATGAGACACCCAGTCCCCTCAGAACGTGACCTGATCAGAGATAGGGTTTTCACAGAGGTACTCAAGTTAAAATGAGGTCATCAGGGTAAGCTCCAATATGATTCTTGTCCTTATAAACAGGGGAAGTTGCGATATAGACGTGGACAGAAGACCACGTGCAAACCCAGGGAGAAGGCAGCCGTCTACAAGCCGAGAGAAGAGACCTGGGGCAGCACCTTCCTTCACTGGGCTCAGAGGGAACCCACCCACCAACACCCCGATGTCAGACCTCTAGCTTCCAGAAGTGTGGGGAAAGGAACACCTGCTGTAAGGCACACATTCTGTAGTACTTGTTACATGAGGCCCAGCAAACGAAGGCGCCATGGCTTGAGTCGTGCAGTTGAAGGGCCAAGCCCAGCTCTGCCCCACCTCCTGCCCTAGCACCTTCCTGGAAACAGTACTAACAGTCACAGGGGAGAAGTCCCAGAGCGGGAATGCGTGGGGCTCCGTGAAAGGCCAGTCTCACCACCGGAAAGGGACATGGCTTCACCCTGAGGCTGGAAGGCTGCTGGAGGTGCACGTACATGTATGTGTGGAGGAATGCACGTATGCCTATGTGTGAATGCATGTATGCCTGAGTGTGTGTCTGTCTGTACCTCAGTGTGGGTTTGGCAGGGGACCCATGGTCCCAGAGCTGTCCCCTGCACTGACATCCTATCTCCCTCCCTTCCACCATTACCAGGCCCCAGAGTCTCCTGACTCTACTTTCCTAGAGGCCCCTGGGCCCAACCATACCTGCTGGTGCTGCTGGAGAGGAACAGGGCCTCTGGCCTCCTGCTGCCCATGGCTGGACTCCCTGTGTTCCAGGCTGTCATCCCGCAGTGGCCCCACGCTCCCGCCGTCCGTCTCGAGGTCCTCAGCCGAGGGTATCTGCCGCAGTCGGGGCTTCTCACTCGGCTTGGTTGACCTCTGGGGGTGGGGGGAGATGTCTACTGAGGAGACATGCTGTGGCATAGGGCATGTGGTGGGGAGTGGTGGTTGGGGCCAGATCGTCCCGCATCCCGCTGGGACTCTAGTGATCACACAGCCCTGGGCCCCACACATCCCCCCTCTCGCCCTGTCCCTCCTGAGCCTCCCTTCTTTCAGCCCCAGTTCAGGGGCCCAGTTCAGCCACCCCTCACTGCCTCCCCGACCCCGTTCCCCTCACCTTGATCAGCTGGACGTGAGGTTTGAGCCGCTCCAGGCGGGGCTGCAGGGGGCCCAGCAGTGAGGGGGCAGTGGCGCTTGGGGGCAGGGGCTCTGAGCGGGTCCGGCTCAGTGGCCGGTGGAGGCCTGATCCAGAGGGCCGCTCGGTGGTCAGTAAGGACTGGGCCAAGTGGAAGGGCAGTGGCCCAAGCCCGGGCACTGGAAAGAACGGGGTGGGGGGCATAAGGAGGGGACCACAAGGAAGAGTGGAGGGAAGCCAGGGTCGGGGGTGAGGCGAGCCAGGGACTCAGCAGCAAGACGCACAGGAGGACGGGACCCAGGCCAAGCTTGGCCCTCGGCAGGGTGCTGGGATCCAGCCCTTCTGGAGAAGCTGGGACTCACCAGTCAGCAGAGGGGTGTGAGACACTGAGGGATCCAGGAGGAGAATGGGCTGCAGGCGAGAGGGCAGGGGGCCCCCAGCCTCGGGCTCCAGGCCATGGGGCAGGAAGAGGTGAGCATGGGGGCTCCCCAGGACTGGGCCCCGAGGGCCCAGAGTTGCATGGGTCCTGCGGTCACCATCAGCCTGCGGGAGAGTGGGGGGAACATCACTGGCAAGAAGACCCTGGTGGGGAGGACAGTGAAGGCCATGGGGCGGGGTGTAGGAGAAGGGATGGAGAGATCTTGGGTGCTTGGGGTGGGGGAGGGCGCCTCAGCCACTCACCCTGGCAGGGGCGGGCAGCCCCAGTGTGATTGTGGGCAGCAAGGCGAACGGGGCCAGAGAGGTCTCCTGCAGCCGCAGCCGCTGGCCCAAGAGCGCCTGCCATGGGAGCAGGGCAGGGGTCATCGGTTCCAGACCTCCACCCCCTGGCACACTTTCCCCAGAACCCCCCAGAGGCTCGGGTGGGGGCTGCCCAGATGCTGAAGCCCCAGCCTGGCCGGGCCGCCGGCTGAGGACCACTGAGCCCCAGAGATGCCCCGGGGTGCCCAGCCTGCCAAGGCCTTACCTCAGAGCCCAGGACGGGGTTGGGGCCATGCTCGCTGTCGTTGGGGGAGCTGCACCCTGATGCCGGTGTGCTGCTACTACTAGGGGAGGAGTCTGAGGGTTGGGGAGAGGGGGGTGAACAGTTAGGAGCCAAGGGTGGCCAGGAGGGGACCAGGAACAAGCCCCTTCCGCGGTGGATGGGCTCTGCTTCCTGCTTTTTTCCCAGCAGGACAGGAAGGCCACCATCAGCCTCCAGCATCTCTGAACAATGTTTTTTTTTTTTCCCCTTCTTCTGGACAGACGTCAGATTAGCCAATAGAGCAAGAGCTGGGTTCTGCCCCAACTCACCCCCTGGCAAGTGTGTAGGGTACCCTGTGACAACCACCCACGGCAGCCCTGGGGGAGGGCACCAGGCCTGCCCACCCCCCGCCACCCGCCCACCCTGCCGGGCCTCACCGCCGAGGGTTTCTGCTGGCCGCCGCCGAAGGCTGGGAGGGGCACTCTCCTTCCGGAGTAGCGGGTTCTTCCTCCGCTCCAAGGACTTCTTGGGCTTGTAGCGCAGCTTCAGGTTGGGCTCGGAGACTGCAGGAGCGCCGGGGTGACTCGGCACACGCCCACCCCGTCTCTGCCCGAAGCCCTCCCTTCCAGCCCTCTCTGAGACAGGCAGGCGGAGGCAGTGCCCCCTCCCTGACTCTCCCCCAAGGCTCTTCCCCCTGAGCCCTCTGGCCGTCCCTGCTGGCCTGTCCACGCACCTGTCTTGCGCAGAGGGAAGTGTTCTGGGGGGTCGCAAGGCAGGCTGGGAACAGGAGGCAGGAAGCTGCTGAGCATGGAACGGGCAGCTCCCTCCGTCTCCAAGGGCTCCAGAGTTCTGCGGAGTGAGCACCAAGGCTGCTTCAGAGGGGCAGGGATGCCCAGTGGCGTAGCAGCCACCTCCTTCCACCCTTTGGGACCTGCCGGGGAGGCGGCGGGGCTTCCCAGGTGGCGCTAGTGGTAAAGAGCCCCCCTGCCAATGTAGGAGACATAAGAGATGTGGGTTCGATTCCTGGGTTGGGAAGATACCCTGGAGGTGAGCATGGAAACCCACTCCAGTATTCTTGCCTGGAGAATCCCATGGACAGAGGAGCCTGGCGGGCTATGGGGTCACAAAGAGTCGGACACGACTGAAGCGACTTAGGATGCAGGCATGCTGGAGTGGAGCAGCCAGCAGGAACAGGGGCCATCTCCAGGGGGCAGTACTGGGCCACCCATCCCGATCTGTGCTTAGGAGCCAGGGTCCCAGACACAAAGGGAGGAAGCTGTTCTAGGAATCTGGATATTTCTGTGCTTAGGGGAAGATACAGAGGAGAAAGTTAGCGTGGTGTGTGTGAGAGAGTGTATGTGGGGGGAGGAGGGCCTGTAGGGAAGAAAGGCCTCAGGCGGGGTGAGGAGAGATAATTAAAGGCCAGAGGAGGGCAGGTATGAGCTGGGAGAGAGGGTCGGAGGAGAGGCACTAGGATTAGAGGTGAGGGGTGAGGATAAGGTGAAGGACAGATAAGGTGAAGGAGAGCAGCGGTCCGCGTGTGCTGTGCGCTCATTGGCGGACATCCGGAGGGGGGCGTGGCAAGGACGCAAGGGGGCGGGGCGGAGAGGGAGTTAACCTGTAGGGGACGCTGGGGCTGTTAGGATGGACCGTTCTCTCTAGGGCCGCCTGTTGTTTCTTCAGAATCACCTCTGCCAGCTTCTGCTTGACCACACTGCTGGCCACGGCACCTGCAGGGGCGGAAATCATGAGTGGTTCGGAGGGTGGGATGGACGGGGCGTCTCCCTGGAACACTTTCTGCCCACTGCCCTGATCACGCCACCCCCTGGAAGAGGCTTCCCAGGGGCCCTTCATGCAATAGCCAAGGCTGAGGCTACACCCCTTCTGTGAAGCCCACGGGTCTCCCTTCACCTACTCCCGCATTCACCCGCAGTGCCTGGCAGGCAGAGAGCGGCCCTGACCGGGGCTGGCATCGTCCTTCCCCGCCCACACAGGGGGCCGTGGACACGCCGGGGGGTGGGGGAGGCTTCCATCCTTACTTCGTTTGCTCTTGTCCTTATTGAGAAGCTGCCGCAGCTCTTGTTCCTGCTGCCCCATCTGCAACTCGGGCATCGGCGTGTCCATTGAGAGCTGTGGGGAGGGGGCGAGGAGTTGAGGACAGGTGGAGGCTGAAGGGAGGGCGGGGCCGGGTCTGGGCTCGAGGCTTCGTGGGAGCTCTAGCTTTACCCGCATGGGCTCTGCGGAGCGCTGGGGCTGCAGGCCCGCCAAGAAGAGGTGGTGGTGGAGGCGCTGGGGGTGCTGCAGGGCCAGCAGTGTGGGCTCCGGCGGGGGCTCCACCGGGGGCCGCTGGCCCACCCGCAGGTCCATGGGCTGGGGCTGAGGGCCTGGCGTGTCTGCGCGGGGCCTGGGCCAGCCTGAGGGCACACAGAGAGGGCAGGGTGAGTGGGCAAGACCCGCAGGTGAGCGATTACCTAATCAGCCTCCTTCAGACTCACTTGACAAGGCCAAACACCCTCCAGGGGCCTTCCCCTTGGGGGCCCTCAGCACAGTCCTGCAAGGTAGGTATTTTCAATTCTGTTTCACCCGTGAGAAAGGAGGTCATATACACCATGCCGTTAGTCTACCGCTGGTGATGGTGAGCTGAGCCTTTTGACCCCAAGCATAGTTTTCTACTAAGTATATTGCCTCTCCAGGCCACGGCTGGGGGCTGTGGGATTTAGGAATGGGCTGAGGACCCTTTAGTGATACATCCTGGCCCTGACCTCTCCTTCCCTTCTTCCCCCCTGGAGGAGGACTGGACACACATGCCCTCTGATAAACTGATCTCAAAAACAGCAATAGGACAGGCCCCTTTGTTCTGCCTCCAAGTCCAAAGGGCACTCCAGGCCCTCAGTCGCCATCCTCCCTATTTTATCCCAGGCCAAGGATAAAGAAGAGGTGCCTCAAACCCACAGCCAGCCCTGGCCAGCACCCTAGGCCTGCACAGCCCATGTGCCCAGGGAGCTCCCAGGTACCCTCATGCCAGGTCCGGGCTGGGTGTGGCAAGGACGGCAGCTTCAGGGCCTCTTCTTGAGTGTCCCCTGCACCCAGGCCAGGAGCACCCTGCCAAGGCCATGGATGCAGGGGCTATATATAACCAGTTGCCAGACTAGGTCCCACGCCAGCACCGCCAGCTCGGCCAGGCTGCGCTCAGCAGCCAGACATTCCCAGTTATCCTAGAAAAGAGGTCGCAGGTGGGGCTGGGAGCAGGTGACAGCACACAAGCAGAGGAACCTTTTCAGAGAGGCTTCCTTCAGCTAATGCAGTGCTGGGCATCCCCTATCGGGGCAGCCATAGGCTGTCTTCCAGGCCTGAACAAAAGGAATGGAAGGCGCTGGGGCAAAGACCAGCCAGGGACTCAGGAAACGCAGCCTCCAGGTCCAGCTGAACCATTATCTTAACATCCACAGCACATGTGCGGACTTGCTGCAAACCCTTTCACCTCATCACCCTGGGGCCCTGGGAGGGAGCTACTACTATTCCCACAGGAAGAAACTGAGGCTCAGGTGAAGGGACCTGGCCAAGGCCACCAAGCCCAGGGCACAGTGAGCTCAGGTTCTGTCCTGCTGAGACCAGCGCTCTGGCTCCATTTTCCCATCCACTTTCAGAAAGTCGCCTCCCCTGTCTCTCACCCCAGGATGGGTTTCTCACTAGAGAAAGGCAGAGGGGCTTGCAGTAGGGGGTCACTAAGTGGTACCCGCTCTTATATTCTCTGACTGTGAGATGGAGACGAGAGAGGAGCAGAGCAGGGAGGTGCCTGTACAACTCTCTGGATGTCAAGAGACCAGAGCAGGCAGCTGGGCCCAGATACTGACAACAGCAGGCAATGCACCACTTTGATGTCCCCACCTCTTGCTCACGCCTCCACTCAGGGACCCCCAAATTCTCGTTCTGGGTTGAGTTTGGGCCTCTGATGCCATTGCAATTCTGCCCTAGAAAAGGTCTCAGTCCTCTCATGGCAGGTGTCCTGGCTTCCTGGAGGGACTCCCTCAGTGATGCATGAGGGTCCTCAGGGTCCTGGACTTGCAGCCAGCAGCTTTGGCCACACAGACTGGGAACGGCCCATTCCTCTCTCCCAGCACTGCCTTAGCCTCCAGAGCACAGGCTGCTGGGAAGCTGGGAGGGGCTCTGCCTTCAACCTTGGGAACCCCTCTCAGGGTGAATTAACATTTGAGGGTCTCCACAGTCTGGTGCTAAGCTGGCCTCTCTCCACTTTGTCTCCCACATGTGAACACGGACCCTCCACCTCAGCCATCAGCTCCCGTCTCGTCACAGCCCACGTACCTCCCTCTCCCTTTTGCTCACAAAGTCCCCCCGCTGGTGCTGTCTTCACCCCTCGATTCCACTTTTCTAGATCCTGCCAGACTTCCAAGCCTTGCTGGAGTCTTTCCACTTTCCTGAACCCAGCCCAGGGTCCCGTGTCCAGCCCTCCTCTGAATTTCCATCATGCTGGTGGTTCTGTCCCCTGAAAGCACCGGCGAGGCACGTAGCAAATCCGAGCTAAGCTCCAAGGGCAAGGACTTGATTCTCCCTATTGCTCACTATCCCAGCACCTAGAACCAGGACCTAGTGCATGACAGGCACTCAGCAAATACTGTCTGAATCAAAAGTAAATCCCTATGTCCTCTGTGCCCTGGAGTAGAGATGGAGTTCCTTCATGCTTCTTTTTCTTTTTCCAATTTGTCTTTCAATGTTTAGATAATTACACAACTAGGATTAAATGACTGTAGGTGGTGAACTCTATGTTTCTTGAATGGATGGATGAATCCCTTAATCAGCTGCTGCCTCCTTTTACACAGATCACATACTACATTCTACCATTACTTCTCTTTTTATTTGTGTGTCTCATCTCCCCAGGTCTGCAAGCTTTCGACAGCTAGGACTGGAGCAAAGAGGACGTGCCCTTCCTTTCTCGCTGCCCTAGGCTGGGTGTCAGGTGTGGAACCTGCACCCAGAAGGCCCTCAGTGGATCTGGTTGAAACTAAGGACAAAGCAGCCCTCATCCAGTCCAGCCTCCCCCACCCCCCGCCCAACCACGGGCACATCCTAAACCATGGGCATCCACTCCCTCCTCGCCCAACACAGCCTGACCACAGCGGGGGTGTGGAACACTGAGAGGATCATGGATGGGGGTCCTCGACCTCCACCAAGCACCACGAGGCATCTTCCCGTCCTGCAAGGGCTGCTATGCCCACTCCGCAAGGGTGGCGTGAGGACCACAGAGCTGACAAACAAGAATGCACCCCCTCCCCAGAGCCCCCGAGGCAGGGATCTGAGCATAAATATTAGCTTCCTACTTGCCTTCCTGTTTCACTGCCCCAGCGCAGACAAGAGCATCCTGCCTTTCCTTTTCCTGTTGTGCTTCCCAGCTCTGGGGCCCGCCTGGACCCAGAGTTGCCTCTCTTATCCCCCACCCTCACCTCTTCCCCACAAAACCCCAACTTTGCCCCCCCCCAACCCCAATCTCCCAACTCTCTGGCCCATCCTCCAGCCACCCTGCTGAACCACCTGCTGTCCTTTTCAGCTCCTCAGCCTCCTTTGTCCTCTCCAGCCCCATCTTCCACTCCCCACCACACTCTCCCTCAGGCATACTCTTACCTATGACGGGGGGGCTGGAGCAGGGGGCAGCTGGGCTCACCTGGGTCCCATCTGTACAGAGAAGAGAGACAGAGTGAATCAGCTGCCAGGAGAGGAGGGGCAGGGGAGGGAGGGGAGAGAGGGCTAAGCCAGGCAGGCTGCCTGCCTGTCCAGGAGGCCCCACTCCAGCCCGAGCATGCCAAAACCTGGCACCTCCACCGGAAGCTAGCCAGAAAGTCAAGACCCCACCCCATTCCTTTCCTCGAACTCCTATGCTGCTTGAGAGCGATCCCCAGCTCCATCTTCCTCATCCGATCTATCAAGTGGCTCAGATATCTCTGTCTATTAGAGCTCAGTCCTGGACAGGAAACTCAGGTGCTTCCAGTTTACCCAGCAGTGTCAGCCCTCCCTGAGGTGCCCAGCCTTCTCTGGGCAGCTGAAGCAGACTCCCAAGGTTGGAAGGGGAAGGAGAGGGCTGGGGGTGAGGCAGACAGCAGGCTGATGAGGCTGCTCTAAGGATGCCTGGAGGGAGACGAGGGGAAGGGGGAGCAGGACTGAAAAGGGAGCTGGGCCCCCCTCCACAGTGGAGGAGGGATTAGGTCGTGGCCTGGAGGTCAGGTCAGATCTGATGTGAAGGGGCGGGTCTGGAATGCATAGCTTGAGGACCCCACAAGAGGAACCCCTTCTTCCTACTGCCCCATCCTGGGTCTTGCAGCCTCTGTGCCCCCAGGGAAGGGACTCGCTCAGCCTTTGTTTCATGGATAACCTGAAAAAAGAAGTCTTTCCTTCTGGAAACAGCCACCTCTCCTAGACTCCTAGGTTCAGCCCAGGGCCCCCTACCCCACCTCCCACCACCATCCAGTTCAGATCCCATGGAACCCCATGGTAGGGCAGTCAGCAGCAGAGAGGCCTAGGGGAGCCCAGGGGCTGGCTGGGGTGGGGAAAGCTGAGTCCTGAGGCCACCTTGCCCTCTTGCTGTCCAGCTCAGGGCAGAGGGGACGGAGCTGGAGACCAGAGGCCTCCTGGAGGGGCAAGTGGTGGACACACAGAAGCCCTCCTCAGACCAGATTTGGGGCAGAAGCGGTGTTTTCTGAAGGTCAGCTGGCAGGCGCTGCTCTGTGGCCTAAGGGCAGCCTCAGTCCTCTTTTAGAAGCTGGAGAAGTAAAAGTGCCTGCAGGCAGGTGCCTGTCGGGGACGGGCTCCTCTGCGCACAGAGAGACTCCCACCAACTGCCCCCAGACACTGCCCTGCGTCCCGGATGATGACATTTGGTAGGGAAATGTCACTCCACCTATTCAAATGTGGCCTATCCTCTCAAGTCCAGCCCAAGCCCATCTCCTCAGGAAGCTCCACCTGACCTCCCCTGGCACCCATGCGGTACCCACCACCTCGACACTCCAGTAATCGGGGTCTCTGCAGTGCCACTGGTAAGCTATGACCATCGGCTCCTAATAACTTGCCGGGCACATGGCAGGCTCTGTTAGGAACCGGTGACTCGAACACAATGACACTCTCCTGGCCCCATGCCTAGGACGTGGCATGTGTATCTCTCAAGGTTTGTGAGCCTCAAGGAACAGGAGTGCAGGAGGCAACCTCCCCTCCCCAGGATGGGATAGCCCCCCACCCCGGGCCTCCCTCAGGACCTCGTTCTCCGAGAGAGGCTTCAAAACTAGGCTCCTGGCTGCACGTCCAGAGAGTCCTGTGCCTCCAGTCCCTGCTGCTGGGAACTGTCCCCTACAGCCCTCGGTCCCTGCCTGAGGGCTGGCCAGCAGCACGCACTGTGGGGGCAGAGCCAGCTTCTCTGCACCCCACTCCCCTGTAACCATGGGTTCCGGACACCATGCACCCTCTGCAGAGGACAAAACTAATGGCGCTGAACTCCACAGTGTTTGTTACGGGGCTCAGAAGAGACGTTCTGTGATGCTATGATGTAAACTCTGTTTGGAAAATCTGTGTGTGTGTGTGTTTTGCCTATCAACAGGAGTGTGTTTCAGAAGCAATGCCTGGAAAAAGCTCTGCTTCTCTCAAGCCCCTGGGTCCATGCTGAGAGACCAGGGGCTCATAAGAGCCCAGAGCAACAGAGATAATTGTTGGGGAGCAGCTCTCCTCTGTCCCAGAGAGAAGAAAAGGCACCCGGTCAGCGGCTGACCTGAAACCGCAAAGTGACTATCTGGCATCTCAGACTTGGGGATGGACTTGGGGGCCATTCTCATCAGCCCCTCTCACAGTGCTATTATCACTAATTTGGGTGCCATCAGGAGTGAAATGTGGGCTTCCCTAGTGGCTCAAATGGTAAAGAATCTGCCTGCAATGCAGGAGACCCAGGTTCGATCCCTAGGTCAGGAAGTTCCCCTGGAGAAGGAAATGGCTACCCACTCCAGTATTCTCGCCTGGAGAATTCCATAGACAGAGGAACTTGGCGGGTCACAGTTCATGGGGTCACAAACCGTTGGACACAACTGAGCGACTGACACTTTCACGAGTGGAACACAATCAGGAGTGAATGGACCCAAGGGAAGGAAAACACAGGATAGGTCTGGCCCTTCTCCACATTGCTCCAGGCCTGTGTGGACAGCTTTCATTTCTGGAATCCTGGTCACTCCCTATTCCTACCTTCTTTGGAGGCAACTGCAGTCAGGCTGATGAGACCGTTTACCTGGTGCTGAAGTTCCCATCTAGTCACCTTCCCCAACTGGACACCTGATCTTACCCAGAAATTCTGCCCCAGTTGGTCCGCCCCGGCCCTGAGCCACCTCCAGGGCAAACATAAATGCAGCTCTCCCGTCCCCAAGCACCTGTACGAGCTGGCCTCCCGCTCCTCCCTTGTTTCCCCGTGGTCCTCACCTGCCCAGCAGATGCAACTAGAAACCTGAGCCAGGCCTGGCCACCTGCTCTCCCAGGCGCTGCCAGTCCTATGGCAGGGGAGGGCTTCCCCAAGAGCACTGCCACCCACAAGCCCCCTCCAAATGCTCCCCATGTCTTTGTCAAGGCTGTGTTCCCCTCCCTGGTCTCCTGAGGAGCTGAAAAAGGAGGAGCAGGCAGACCCCTGCCCTGCGGGCATGAGGCAAAGCCCTGGGTCCAGAGCTGACTCTGCCCCCTCCCTCCCCCAGCCCCCTCAGCTCAGGGCTGCTTCCCCTGACAAAGCTTGACTCTGCAGGGGACTGGCAGGGAAGACAAAGCTGGGAATGAAATGGCCAGGAAGCTCCAAGAATCAATAAACAGAAGAGAGAACGTCAGAGTTGCCTGACTGACACAGAGTGAGGACTGCGGTGTATGTTAGGAGCTGATGAGGCTTCAGAGATTGTGCAGGCAATACTCTAACTTCCCAGAGAAGGGAAAGAGAGAGGGGAGGCGGGCTACGTCACAGTCACCTAGCGGGTCAGCGGTACCACCAGGCCAGACCAGGGCGGGGAGGAAAACCCAAGAAGTCGATCCCAAAAGCAGGTTCTAAGTACCTCTCGGTGAGGGCACTGGTCTCGGCTCGAAGAGGGTGGAAAAGTGGATAAAACCTGGCTTTCACTTTCAGGAGTTTCCACTCCACACAGCCCACGATTTTTTAAAAATTGAAAAGTATATGACTTGTTGACACTAAAAACATTTCAAAGAGCCCCCCAAAGTATGAAACTAGAAGTTTCTCACTGATCCAACTCCCTAGGACTTCCTTAGACTCAACTCCATTTAACAGTTTCTTATGTCCCCCTTCCAGAAATTCTCTTGCTACTTACTAATTCTATTGCTCATGATCTTGGCACCAAGCTGCTTATTACTCAGATTTATCCAGAACCTAGTGTGCAGCAAGCTGGATGGGAACTCTGGCCCCATGAAGTGTAATAAGTGAGGGTCCGAAGCATGGAGGACGTTGTCTTTGAGGTTAGATAGACCGGTGTTTACATTCCAACGCCCTCAGTGACCGGCAGGGACAGCCAGGGACACGCTGCAGCCTGGGCAAGGCTTGGTTGTGCCTCTGAAATTCGACGATAAGAATATGGACCAGGAAGAGGTCATCTGAGATAAGCGACGCTGCGTGTGAAGCATGGGGCAGATGGCGGGTACCCCGTGGCGGGGTCGTGATTCATACTGTTTGCCCCTGAACACACCTGCAGCCACCCTCTGGCATAGCATCTCAGCGTCTGGTCCCGTCTGCATTCTCCCCTCGTCTCCTAGTGTCCACTTGCTCCCAGATGCGCTCCTGTCCAATCTCTTATCTCCTGACTCTCCCGACACAGGCTCTTCTCTTTCTTCTCCATCTGAACTTTTGTAAACTAGCAGTTTACTATGTGCCCTGTGCTGGCTAGTTCATCTAACCCTGATGACAAACCTATGCGGCGGTAACTATTTTTATCCCTATTATATAGATTAGTCAACTGAGGCCCAGCAGTATTAAATAACTCATCTGGAGGCCCATAACAGGGAAGTGGCTAAGCTGGGACTTCAGCCAGACAAATGGGCTCTAGAATCCATGTTCTCAAGCAACACTGGCGGCTGCTTCTCCCCAGCACCTCCACTCTACAGGCTAGTGGGTGGACAGCGAATGCAGAACCTGGCTGGGCACAGGGAAAGATAAAAATCACGCAGCTCCCAGGAAACCTGAACCAGTGGGGGCAGACTCCAGTCCTGCTGCAGGTTAGAGGGCGGAAGCTACCTGTCCCATCTCTAGGCCCCAGTGAAGACAGTCCTCCCAGATCACAGATAGATACCAACTGCTGACTCTGCAGATGCCATGCCAAGCGATGATTTCGGACTATAGGTGGGAACAGAGGCTGGCAACTGACAAGGCCGGAACTTGGACGAGCACCGCTGTCATCCTCAGGATCTCGGGTATCCTCCCTTGTGCCTTCCTTAGATGCTCCCGAAGGCCTCTGAGGCTTTCTCATTAGCGTCTCAAAGCAAGCTCCACCAGGCAAGCAGGAAGGCGGGCGGGCCTGGGGCGGAGGCTCCCAGGTGAGCGGCCTGGGACAAGGGCCTGCCCAGACAAAGGCCTCCAGTCAGGCAGAGGAGGGGGGGGGGGGTGCCCAAGCTCGCAGGTTCCGCAGCTGTGCGGCAAGCAGGAGGCTGGATGTGAGGGCCGCAAG